TTTCACTTATTGTACATATATACAAGTAGACTTCAAGGTCCACTTTTCGCCTTTTACCTGTATTAAATTTGGTAAAGGATTTACTAATTAAAACTTTTAATATTTTAATTTAGCTAAAATATATATTAAATTGTTCTTTTTGATACAATAATTATTAATTTTAATTGTAATGATTCATGATAAAAGTTTGAATGGTAGGCGTACAAATTTAATCTTTTTATTTTGAATTAGGGCGAATTTTTATAAAAAGACATTTAAAATTTAGACAATGCGTACATTTTGTTTTTTTGTTTTTTAATTAGTATCTTATTACAAAGCAAGTATCACTTATTATTAAAATGTTAATAAAGATAGTCATGATATTTAATCATGTATCAGTAAATATTATAGTTTTTTCATCTTCAAGTACATGATGGTTGTTTCTCTCTACATATATTTTTATTAAATATTTTTCACTCTCTATTTTTTATTGAAAATATTAAACTAACAAAAGCATAAAGTAGATTTTTATTGATATCAACATCGGCTTAAAGAATTGGTTAATTCATCCTTTCCTAGAGTAAGTGCGTTTCATATATATATATAAAAAAAAAAAAAAAACACAATACGATAAAATTATCTTTTGATCAACTTATTAATGATTTGAGAATTAGAATCCATCACAATCCAATAAACGAAACAAAAGAGAAATAAAAAAACATCTAAAAGTAATGAATGACTCAAGATTAATAAAGCAAAGAAAGATCAATAATGAAGGGTATATATATAAATAGGTTGTGTAGATTAGGAAAATTCAATTCTTGATGAATAAGATACCAATCTTATTCAAGATTGAATTATGATAGTTAATGAAAAAATATTTTTTTGATATAATTAAATTTCTTAATTTTTTTTTTTATAAAAGTTGAATTGTAATACTTGATAAGAACCATTTCAGGGTCTTTTCTGGTACCTAGGGATTTCTTAATTTGCTATATTCTATATTTTTTAATTATTATTATTGAGACCACTAAAGTAGGAAAAAAGAGGGGATCAATCACGTGAGATACCCACCACCTTTGCAATTATTAATCTGTAGGCTCCACACTTCTATTCTATAATTATAAATTACTTAAATTTTTACTTTATGTTAATTTTTTAATCTCTAGGTCCCACACCATATGTTAGATTTTTTTTTTTTTTTGATAAAGATAATTGTTAGAAGTTAGTATGTTAGAGGTTAGTATGTTAGAGGTTTTAGTGGAAGGTATTGAACCCGAGACTTGAGAGTGCGAACCACAGATTACCCTTTGAGGCAGCAAGTGACCACTGGACAACGGTACGTGGAATGTCGTATGTTAGATTTAAACAACTATTTACTAAGTATTTTTTTTTATATATATAAAGCCCATATCGTATTTATGAAGTATTTTCTTATTGCTCATTAGATATTTTATTGAGAATTAAAAAAAATTATTAAGTATTTATTTAATAATTTTAGAAAAGGTTTGTTATTATTGTAATTTTATATATAGTTGATATTTTAGATATATGTTATAAATAATAAATAAATGTCAATTGATTTTTCTTATCAAATGAAATTACTCAAAATAATTTATGTATTAAAATATAATTTTGCAATTATAATTCATTGCTAAAGTTTACATAATTAAATTGAAAATGATGTAATTACAACTTTATATGACATTTTAAATTTACAATTATGAAAATTTATTATAAAATTAACTCATTTTATTTATTGTATGTATACATTTATTAAATAATATATTATAAATTTAAACATATAACCATATAATCTTATATAACATTGCAATACTGATTAACTCATTAAATAATTAATAACTCAGCTTGCAATTATAGTATTCTCAAATCAAATACTAATAGAAAGGAACAGAAGGTATACCAAACAAGCCCTATACCTGACGTAATATGGGGTGACGTAATTACGTGCGTAGCGTTAATTAATCAGCTGAAATAAAGTAAACTTCATAATTACGCTTGATTTGTTGATTCTGGGGGAAAGCAAAATTGAGCATGGAATAAAATGGCAGCTCATGTTCCTTTCCTCTTCCTTCTCTTTTTTTTTTTTTAAGAGTTCTCTTTCTCTACCGTAAAACAAAAGAAGAGTCTTCTTTCTTCTTAATGCAAAGGCATTGATTAAATATATATTAATTATTTATTATTAATATATAATAAATAAATAAAAATTAATTTAAATTTTACTAATGTTCAATTAAAAGCTTTTATGTTACATTGATAATAAAAAATGTAAATAATGTATCCTAAACTTATGTGTTAGGAATAGAAGCTAGATAAACTCTCATTTTAAGAATTTTTTTTTATTTGAAATTACCTTGAAAAAGATATGAATAATGGTTTGGGTTTCAGATTCCGGTTCTTTCTGGATAAAAAGCACGATAAAGCTAAAACATTATTCCCTACGCACTAAAAGTGGTTTGCAAATTTGCGTTAACTTAGCTCTCTTATTTTAAGTATTATTTTAATTTGATTAATGATGTTTGTCGTGTGTAACAAGATTTTCCTCACTTTTAAAAGACCACAGTTATATTTTATGTAAATGTTATGGGAAGGCAAAGATGGACCTTCCGACACAATTATAATCACTAATAATAATATAATAATTATTAAAATTATAAAATATTATTTTTAAAAACATTAATTTTATTTAATATAATTATAAAAATAATTAATAATTATAATTAATAATTAATAAAATAATTATTAAATGATTAAATTATTATTTTTTAATACTGTTTAAAAATTTTAAAATTTTGATGGCCTTAACAATATTCATGCAATAATAACACCACCCATGGAACCCGGGCTATGAACTCAGGAGTTTATGATTTTCTAACTCCTGATAGTATCTCTTTCTCTCTACATTTTGGAAATCTGATGAATATTTTTTATGCTCCTTGTGTCCGTTGATGGTTGTTGATCCTTTATACATAGGATGTGCATTGTTTAGATTAATGTTGCTATATGTAAGAATAATCGAGGTTCATGTCTCCTCCCCTGTTTTCCTTTTATCAATACTCTGTTTTGCTTTCGTTTTTTTTTTTTTTTTGCCGTAAATTTTGCTCTTTTTCTCCCCAAAAAAAGGATCAATTGCAAAATTGATAAAACTTAATAAAGTAATAGGGTCTAAGTGCGTTTATATTCTATTTTGTGTATATTATTTGGATAAGATATGAATGGATATAAGATCTGAAATTAAAAATAGATTGTTTGATGAGGACTTAAAAAAAAGTATTATAATGAATAAAGTCTTTTTTTTTATTCAAAAAATATATCTTTATAAATAATAAAATTAAAAAGTAAGGTAAGCTATTTATTATTGTTATACAAAAGTTGAATAGGGTAAGTAAGGTCCAGTCTTAACACTAGTGATATATATATATATATATATATATATATATATATATAGATGTATGTATATTTAAATCTTACATATCACATTTATATAAAATTTTAATTATTTATTTTTTAATTTTTAATGGTTAAGATTTATTAATTTTTTTATCATATTTTTTATTTAAAAAATTATAATATATCTCAATTATTAAAAATAAAAAATAAATAATTTAAATTTTATTTAAATTTAATATGTAAAATTTATATATAATGAAATCTTTTCTTTTATACATACATAATACATGCAACAGTGCTTTAAACACCAAGTAGACGAGAAGCCTTACCTTACAGACTCCGATCAAATCATCACGGAGATTATCCCTCACTCTGCCTGGAGGCTCTTCAAAAAAGTGAAAACCTTTATCTAAGTGATGGAAACTAGCTGCCATATTATCCGCACACGATTTAACTTTGTGAATACGTGGCGTAATTCACATTCCCACTCGTGATTCATCAAATTTCTGCATCCTCGACAAAGCATTGAAAAAGAGTTGTTCTCATTTGGACGTAGTAGCATCTGTTTATAGCCAATAACGAATCTGTCTCAACAATGACCTTCCTAAAGCCTCTGTTTATTTGCCGATATTCCCTAAAGGTGCAAACTCTCTTTCAAAATAAGTGACAGTTTATACCAATAACCTATTGGTCCGAGTGGAAAGAGCTCGATTCCATTTAAATAAGATCTCGAGTTTGAGTCTTATAAATGGAAAAACAGATGTTACGAGAGTTTTTCCCCATATAGAGTCCAATCCAACTCGATTTCGGATTAGTCAGGGTCCAACGTGATTTCTAGATATCGAGAAGTTAGTATAAAAAAAAATGACAATTTATTTATAGATAATTTATGAGTGGAATCATTTTACATAAGTTGACTATTTTACCTTCATTATTTAATTCTTTTTATTGAATTTTTAACACTAAATTAGAAAATACTATACCAAAAGCATTATAGATATGCAGATGATTCAACTCTCAAATAAGAGAGTAAGAGCTACCATATGATTAAATTAAAAAAATTTAAATCTCAAACTTTTTACCCAATGCAAAATCACTTTTCTTAGATCAATGTAGAAAAGGGGTGAGTTCCATTCAACAATAACAGTCGGCCAGAGTTTGACCCACTGTAAAATTGCTTCTTTTCTTATTACTGCATGCCAAATTGTTGGATGGAGTGGAGCTCATGCCTATTATCTTGCTGCTGCCTCCTATATTAGCGGCTGGTGATCAATATTACAGCCGTTGGCTCATTCAGTTTTTCCTGGTTTTCATCCATTCTCTTAATTTCTTTGTCTCTTAACTTATCTAGTTTAAAGAGAGGGGAGGAGATCAAAAAAGAGAAATTTTTCTATTTAGTTAGCGAAATTTTGAAAAAAAAGAAAAGAAAAAAAATTATTTTATTTCGATTTATTCTTTTATTTTAGTCTAAAAAACAAAGAAAAGGGAGGAAAACAGAATCCCTTCCATCTCCTATGTTTCCTTCAAACTAATCAAGAGGTTAAGCTCTATCCTCCCCTCTCATTCTTTACTTTGATTTCTCTATAAACCTTAACTTGCTTTTACCAAATAAAATCCATAGCAACACTCAACCTCAACCAAATCCAATTCTCATTCTCACACATCTCCACCCCCACCTTGAAATCAACCTGTTGATCTGCAAACCCCACCCCTTTGTATCACTCTTCTCATCCCAAAATAAAGAAACCATATTATAAAGAATTACAAATATTAGTGGAAATAAAATAAAAGGAAGGAAAGAAAGAAAATAGGGAAAGAGAATAAAATTAATAAAGGGTAAAAATAGTTAACCGGTGCACAATGATGTGGCATTAATTAACAACATAAGGAGTTTTGTTTATAACACCTTAATAATGATCTAAGTGGGTTAAAATGAAAAATATCACTAATAAATTAAGTCATTACAACAAATTTGCTCTCCCCTAAAACTAGCAGAATTTGGCTTCTCTTTCGCCACCGTGGTCATGAGTAAAAAAATTTTAAAAATTAAAATATATGTGGTTTAGCTGATTATTATAGGTAGTCACTTATATTTACAGACAAAAAACTTATATTTATAATTAAGGGGTGACGAAATAACAATAACAAAAAGATTTGTGTAATTAAAATTATATTAATTTAAACTTAAATTTTAATTTATGAATCAAATATTAATTCACTTGAGTAAAAATCCCTTGATTATAGAAAAATTAATACTTTTCCCGACATAATATTTTAAAGTCCAGTGATCACTTAAAGGTTCACCGAATGGTAGAGAAAATTCTCTCAAAAAAATAGCAACTTTTATTTTTGTCAAAAGGTTAAAAAGGTAGAGTAGATATCTTATGTGTTGATATTCAAAGTGCAGTGATCACTTAAGTGCTGGGACTTGACAGTTTGAGCATCAATTATCATTTCCCAGCAATTTGAGCACCAATGCACTCCCAAATGGGTTTACAGAATATTTCACCAACTCTCTGCGTCGGTGGATTAGCTCCGGTTACTACATTTTGTTATTAATACAATGGTGGTGGCTCGGCCACCTCCACTGCTGCCTCCCCCACTGTAAATAATGGAAATGATGAACTTCCTTCAGTTAGACCCTAGAGGCAGGCGGTCAACAGTTTCCCTATGTATGTGCAAAACCAAGGACACTCTCTTAATTAAGATTTTGCTTCCTCTGCCAGGATATGGATTTTGCTCCACACAGATTTTGAAATCTGCATTCTAAAATGAGTTGAGCTGGAGTCTAGAATTGCTTAACTTGCTAGCTGAGCTTTTGAGCTTCAAAATTAATATAAACATTTTTTTATTTAATGGATTTTATAATATATTTATTAAAAAATTATTATTTTAATTTAAAATTTTTAAAAAAATTTAAAAATAAAAATATACATATAATATTAAAAAAATTAATTAAATTTATTATATTTTAATAATTAAACTAACTAAATATTAATTTATGGATCAAATTAAAAGATGGGCAAATCATTTTCATTTGAGTTTTAAAAAATTCGAGCTTCACGTGGCTAGTTTTTATTCCTACTTGACTATCAAGGCAACCCGGGACTTCAAAGTCAGTCAATTTGGATTATTGCAAGCAGGGACCATTTAAGGCTTGGCCTGCAACTTTCCTCGAAATAATAATAATAATAATAATAATGATAATAAATAATTGGCCTAGCCTGCAACACGTTTTCCAGAGATTGAATATTTTTCTTCTCTGTCACCACGTCAAGTGAGTGTAAACTAGGCTAAAACAATCGACGTATACTTTAGTATTTGGATTCTACTAAAATTTTGGAACTTTTCCACAAGGTAGATCGCCATCGAAATGAATGCAAGGAAAACTTAGAAGACGGGTTGATTTTTAGGCAAAAACTAATGTTAAGCCCCTAAATTTTTTTATTTTCTCATATAAGTCCCCAAAGAAAAAAGAGTAGCATGTAAGGCCCTAAACCTTTGGATTTGAACAAATTAACTTTTGTGTTAACGATGGAATCGCGTGTGATCATATAAGTTAAAAGTTTTCTTTTGCTTGCATGGCAATTTCTTTATATTTAGGTATTAATGTGGCATGAAACTCAATTGTTTAACTCTTAATTTTAGGATTTTTTTGAACTATATATTACAACATTTAAATATAAAGGAATTATTGCATCAAAATTTGTGTGAAGAAATTGTCACACAAGCTGGAAAAAACAAATAATTATTTAATTTTACATGGCTGCACATGATTTTACCATTAACACAAGAGTTAATTTGCTCAAATCTAAGGCATTTAGGGACTTCCATGCCACTTTTTTCTTTAATGGCTTATATGAAAAAATGATGGAAATTTAAGAACTTTTTGCCATATTTCTAAAGTCTACTGAGTACCGAGACCAGGGAAAATTAAATTTTACAACCAATATGTCAAATTTTCACGTTTCTCAACAATCTGAACACTAATCACCCCATCTCTTAACAATTTGAGCACCTTGCTCTACAACATGCTGACCCAAAGGGGTTTACACAGTATTTCAGCAACTCTCTGTTTCGATAGATTAGCACTGCAGGTTACTATTTTTGTTCTTAATACAGTGGTGGTGGCTCTGTCACCTGATCCACTGCTGCTTCCAACACTGCCGAATCATGGAACTGGGGAACTTCCTTCAGCAGTAGTCGACCTTTCTAACTCCGGCTTTGCTGCCCCAAGTCGTTCCTACTCTCAAGACTCGCCACCTGAAGCCTACCTACGTATCCACAACAACTATCGAGCAGCGGTTGGAGTTAGACTGATGACTTGGGACAAGAAGGTGGAGGCCTATGCACAAAACTACGCCAATCAAAGGATCAGAGACTGCGAGCCTGTGTATTCGAACGGGCCTTATGGCGAGAACATTGCACGGAGCAGCGGTTACCTTTCGGGAACAGAAGCAGTGACGATGTGGGTTAAATCAAACAATACCTGCGCTGCGGGAAAGGTATGCCTTGAATACACTCAGATCATCTCGGGGAGATCAGTCGGGCTTGGATGTGCAAAGGTACTATGCGACAATGGTGGGACTTTTATCGTCTGTAACTATGACCCACCAGGAAACTACATCGGCCGACGCCTTCTAGAAAGGAAGCGATTAACTTATTCGGCTTTAAAGGGACTAGCCCCTGTTAACGGTCCGAGCATACCGGGCAACGGTCCGTGGAGAGACGGGAATCGATCGACGATCTATCCGACCATAAAAGACAATCAATCATCTCCGGTTGCGAGCCCGCCGAGGTCCGCTATTGCAGACCCACCAATAGCTCGTACGGTGATCAATGGTCTTCCCCTTCAACGATGGAAGAAGAGCACTGGAATACTAGTTGGATCAATTGTTGGGGTATGTGCTTTGTTCTCTAGCTTAGGTTGCATTCTGTTCTTTTTTTGGCGAAAGAGGAAAGAAAGAGCAATAAATGAACTTGCCTTTAATATGTCCTTTGGTGATGAATTTGGGAATGGTACGGTGCCTAGGGAGTTCTCCTATAAGGAATTGTCTAAAGCAACCAAGAATTTTGCAGAAGAAGAGAAGCTAGGTGAGGGTGGATTTGGATATGTATATAAAGGTTTCTTGAGGGATTCAAATGCAGATGTTGCAGTTAAAAGAATCTCACGAAAATCTAAACAAGGGATCAAGGAGTACACTTCCGAAGTGAAGATCATTAGCCGTTTGAGGCATAAGAATTTAGTGAAGCTTATAGGTTGGTGCCATGAGAAGGAACTCTTACTGGTTTATGAGTTCATGCCTAATGGTAGCTTGGATTCTCATCTCTTTAAAGGAAGAAGCATATTGCCATGGAATCTTAGATTCAAAATTGTGCAAGGCTCGGGATCTGCATTGTTGTATTTGCATGAATTAGGAGATTTTTGTGTGCTACATAGGGATATTAAAACAAGCAATATTATGTTAGATTCTGCTTTTAATGCTAAACTTGGTGATTTCGGATTAGCTAGGCTGGTTGATCATGAAAAAGGTTTCCGAACAACTCTATTGGCTGGGACTATGGGCTACATGGCTCCTGAATGTCACAGAACAGGTAAAGCAAGTAAGGAATCAGATATCTACAGCTTTGGAGTTGTGGCACTTGAAATTGTATGTGGAAGAAGATCAATAGAGCCTAGATATGATGAGGACCAAGCTTCCTTGTTAGCTTGGGTGTGGGAAGCTTATGGGAACCAAAGGCTTCTTGATGTGGTTGACAAAAAGCTTTCTAAAAATTTTGAAATGAAAGAGGTGGAACGTTCATTGATTGTTGGCTTATGGTGCGCACATCCTGATCACAATATGAGACCATCAATCAAGGAAGCAATGCGAGTTCTTAATTTTGAGACCGCTCTACCAAATCTTCCAAGTAAGATGCCTAT